ACACTTCGTCTCAAAGTCTGCCTCTGCAGATATCTCAGTTGTCTCCCCGACTTGACAAAATAATTGAACCTCAAGATTTAACACTAAGTTAACTGGTATCCCAGTTACATTTCCTGTACAACAACAATAACTAATTACATTTGTATAGCGCTTTGGGAGGACAGCCCAAAGCACTGGACAGTCAAGGATGTGCACCCGAGGCTGGGGGTTGGGATCAGGAGGGGTGGAGGGTAGTGGGGGTAGGCGGGTAGACCGAAGGCACAGTCGAAGAGGAAGGTATTGAGACGGGCCTTGAAGGAGCCAAAGGAGGGGAAGAGGGAAAGGGACTGTAACATGGAGTTCCAAAGGCTGAAATGCTGCGATTCGCAGGCAGCAGAATGGCCCCTATCAGTGGCTGTGTAAACTTAATCATTCTGACATATTGACTGAGCCAAAGACTGCAGCAGAATTTCCAACTATGTGATAACATTATCAGCGATAAACATCACGTCATATTTTTCAACCCCGTCTTACAGATAGCAGTGCCTTCATATGTCCTTATAATGCTCTCGTATCAGATAATATAAGATCACACACATGCTATTTGGTTTTGTCGCTTTAAAATCTTAACCTTTGTCCCAGTGCCAAGGAAACGCCAGAGGATTCCAGGTGATAGCAAAAGAACTGAACTGTTCACTTTGGAAGAGAGAAGGTTAAGGAGTGATCTGATTAAAGTTTTCCACATTTCAAAGACTACAGAGGTAAATAGGCTGAACTCCAAAATATGTTCATTATAATCAAAGGTCCACAACAAGCAGTCTAGGAATCAAGCTCAGATATATGTGGGGAGATAAACAGTTTAGATTTAACTACACAGAGGGTGGTTGGACAGTGCAGGCTCTTTCAAGAGCATGATGCGTTATGATAGAGAAGGGGAATTGAGCAGATATGAGATAGGGAGAGATGGCACTTTGAAAACACGACTAGTCACACACATTCCTGTGTTCTTCTTTTTAAGCCAGGGCTTAGGATAGTCATGTACATTCAGGAAAATAATTTGGAAGAGGGAAAATGAGGCCATTGATCATTGGAAAAAAAAAGCTGGAGTGAGGCATCGCTGATCAGCACTGAGTTCGAGTCATTACTGGTATAGTTTCACAGGCGCTAGCTGCCTTCTCCTGCCAACGCATGTCCATTCTTCATCTGTGAGCTTGGGGCCCAACTGCTTATCATAACCCACCTGTCAGCTGTGTTTATATATAAAGATGAAGAACGATAACTGAAATATTGACCTGTATTTCTCTGCCTAGATGTCAAGGTCAAAATAATAAATACTTAACAAACTCGCAAACAAGCAAACTGGTGTAAGTCAACGTATAGGTAGGTTGGCTAACCACTGTCGTAACAAATATCTGTATGACTAACACACTTTCTGTAAGGTTGCGAAAACTCACGCAAGTATGCAGCATTCAAGGAGTTTCTAAAGGACACAATTTGGCAGCTTAACCTGCGTCACATTTCATGGACGAGAAAGATGAGTTTTGTAGGAATGAGTTCTGGTTACCCAGCCCTTTCTTTACAAATGACACAAATGGTACATTAGAGTTTCAGCCTGCCTTATTTTCTTATTATACGTGTGGCAGCTCATTTATCAAGTGAAAGAGAGCCATCATTTTGTTTAAATACGCATTCACCTCTTGTCTGACAATAACTTCATTACAGGTTTTAAACCACAGTTAAAGTGGGTTATGTGGCAAACACTGTAAATTTATCTTTTTAATTGAGTTATCACAACCTCAAGCCATTATGAGGGAGTTTCTCCTGGTGTCCCTGACCAACGATACACCAAATAAAATTGATGATTCACTTCCTGGCAATTTTTTGGTTTGTAAGACTGCTTGGGGTTTAGCCAGCAGCCTACACGAGCACAAAAATTGCTGTGCTAACCATCGAGACCTCACAGAAGCAGAGTTTGTGTTTGTTAGTTCTTCGAGAGCAAACTTCCCCAGCAGAGTGAAAGGTTAGTAACCACACCCCACCCCACCGCTTGCTCTTGCCCAGACAACACATGTATTGGCAGAAGCCAAGACACAAGGATCCCAAATACAATTTGACGTACTTATTGCAGGAGTTTAATCAGCTAAAACCATGCAGCACAGTGCTATATCAGTTAAATACAAGAACATTTTTTGGAAAGTTTTTTTACAACTTAGTCAAGAAAGATGCAGATATGAATAATAGAAATAAAACAAACAAGATAAGCAGCTTATTCTCCCCGCTCCCCATAACTCAGTGGATAAATGAATCACATACAATGTGACAACAGAGCCAAACCATGCCTAGCTTCCATCCTGGATCTGTGCTGAGTTTGCTGATCTTAGCCTCGACGGGTTGGTGTGTATATGTAGATGTATCAACAACATCAACAAAATTACATTTCGGATGGAAAAGACAGGTCATTTGATTGTCTTTCACATCTTCAAGCTGAGGAGGAGAAAAAGTTCAACTTGAGTAACCAATGTCTGGTTCCTAATAGCAGAACCCGCCTAGAAGACCATATTTGTGAAGGAAGAACAGGATAAGTCCCCGATCCCAAAGCTCCCGATGCTTGAACAGTCTGTCAATACTAGTGTCCACACTTGAAGAATAACCACTTGAAGAAAAGTATCTAAAGGACTGCTGCTACCTCACACTAATACCCAGCAGGAGTTATCAGATCAGACTAAAAAGAGAGAAGAATTGAAGGGAGAGCAACAGGGAGTTATTTCCTACACGTCTCAGCCTGACAATGAAAGGTTATAAAATGTTACAAACTGTGCAATTGAAAGACTGACACCAGGAGAAAGGTGCAATCTAGATTAATACTACTGAGAAGGCATTTTGTTTTGCAACTGGATTCAAAGTGTAATAAAACCCTGCTTTATTTTTACTCTATTATGTTAATGGCACAAACATTCTAACACGTTTTCCTAAAAACATTCGCACTTTTGTTTTCAATTAACACATTTTGTGCCACAAAAACTTGCATTTATATATAATGCTCTTCATATAGAGTCACGTCATGTAGCACTTTACAGGGACAGATTGGATGCCAAGCAAGGGAGAGGGGAGTGCGGGAGGTGGCCAAAGACGGGTTTGAAGAGATAGAGTTTAAGGTGTGACTTAAAGACGGAAACAGAGGTGGCAAGATTAGAATGGTCGAGCGAGGAAATTCCAGAGATTAAGGAAATAGCAACTGGAGGCCTGGCCACTGAAAGTGGTGCGGAGAAGGCAGAGATCACGCAGAAAACCGGAGTAAGCAGAGAGAGAGAAAGTAGGGTTCAATGCGTGTAGAGGGTATTGTTTTTTCATGGAGTGTAAACAACCCAAAGGTCCAAGTATCACAGCAGGGAATGATTTTCATTCAGGCTTCAGTGCAAACAAATGCATTTCAGTATCGGGCTCTCATTCGTGTCAGGTTCTATTTATGTTATGCAAATTTATTCTGGACTGTTTTACGTAATATCATGGCTAAATGATAATTAACAGCAGCTAGAAACTGTTACAATTTACAGAGGAGAAAGATGAGCTTTGGAGGAATGAGTTCTGGTTACCCAGCCCTTTCTTTACAAATGACACAAATGGTACATTAGAGTTTCAGCCTGCCTTATTTTCTTATTATACATGTGGCAGCTCATTTATCAAGTGAAAGAGAGCCATCACTTTGTTTAAATACGTATTCACCTCTTATCTGGCAATAACCTAATTACAGGTTAAACCAGAGTTAAAGTGGGTTATGTAGCAAACACTGTAAATTTGTCTTTTTAATTGAGTTATCACAACCTCAAGCCATGATGAGGAAGTTTCTTCTGGTGTCCCTGGCCAATAATACCACAAATAAAATTGACGATTCACTCCCTAGCTGTTTATTGGGATACTTTCCAACTGCTGCCAATATCTCACCTAAGCATCAATCTTCAGGTTTGAGCCCAAAGAATGAATGTCGACAGGCAGTTCCAGCATGAAGTCCTCATACCTGATGCCACTCTCACCCAAAGCCCAGCAAGTAGAATGAGAACCCTGACTGAAATATGCCTTCTCATGCCCAGGAGGACAAAAGACATTCATCCTATCAAAACCTCAGCTGACAAAGCTCGGCTAACAAAGCTCCAACTTGCCTTTAATGCTTTGCTTTACATTGCAGTGTTTTTACCAAAAGAATTGTCAGAGGGAGGCCCCCAAAAAGCAATTGGAAAATAGACATGGTACACAAGCATGTAATATTATGGTATTTACAATCTTAAAGGGGCTTTACCATCAGTATCTTTACATTACAAATAAGGGCCATGCATCAGAAGGCATGTGTCCATCACTGTGAAATCAGTACAACTATGTGTTACTGATCAGAGAGCTGATGGGCCTGCATACCTGATAAATAGATAACTGCGAAAAGGAGTTTTGTATTGTTAAGAGCCTCATGCTAGATCCTCATCATTTCCCCCCACGTTTACCCATCAAAGCCTCTTTCAAAGGAATGTTTTTGAACTTCCCTGGTAGAATAAAGAGAGATGACAAGTTTTATCAAGTTACAAAATGTTGTGCTCGATAAGACTGTTTGGGGTTTAGCAAAGAGTCTCCACTTGAGCACACAAATTGCTCTGCTAGCTATCGAGACCTCACATAAGCAGGGTGTGTGTTTGTTAGTTCTGGGAGACAAAAACTCTCCCAGCAGAGTGAGAGATCACCACACCCACTCACCGCTTGCTCTTGTCCAGATAAAATGGCAGAATTTTGTGCTCAATAAAACTGTGGGTGTTTAAACAACTAAAACATGCAGCACAGTGCTACATCAGTAAAATGCAAGGACATTTCTTGGAAAGTTTTTTTTACAACTTAACTCAAGAAAGAATAATACACATAATAATATATGAATAATCAAGACAAAACAAACAAGATAAGCAGCTTTTTCTCCCTGCGCACCCATAACTCAGTGGATAATTGTATCACATACAATGTGACAACAGAGCCAAAACATGCCAAGATTCAATCCTGGGAGTGGGGAAGGTGGCCACAGATGGGTTCGAAGAGAACAGAAACAGAGGGGGCAAGATTGGAGTGGTCGAGCGAGGAAATTCCAGAGGGTAAGGGAGTAGCAACTGGAGGCTTGGTGATTGAAAGTGGTGCGGAGAAGGTAGACGCAGCAAACCAGAGTAAGCTGAGAGAAGGAGTAGGGTTCAATGCATGTAGAGGGTATTGTTTTTTCACGGGGTGTAAAAAATCTATAAGTTACAAATGTCACAGCAGGGAGTGATTTTCATACAGGCTTTAGTGCAAACAAAAGCATTTCAGTATCGGGCTCTCGTTCGTACCAAGTTCTATTGATGATATGGAAATTTATTATGGAATTTTTTACGTAATAAGGTGGTTAAATGATAATTAATGGCTGCTAGAAACTTCTTAATTATATTGCATTTAGTTACGACTCTGCATTGAATTATCACTAGCAGCCAGACATATGCTAGACATATGCCGGTTGTTATGATGGTGTCTACCCACTTTTTCTCATTTATTTTCCCTATCCATAATTTACATCCCAGGAAGAATGGAACTGAATGTTAAGTGTGGGATGGTAAATTTGAATAGCTAGGGCCTAAACAAGCTAATTTCTAAAGGTTACACGCATTACCGGTGCATTTAGACGTTTTCTTGATGTGAAATGCCTGTATATTTGTAAATTATACTGTATTGTGCCATTGATCAGGAGATAATTTCAGCCAGTCTGCCAGCCCTGTCACTTTCCCAAGAATGACTCTGTCTGATATTGTGATCACTTATGAGAGAAGGGTCAGGGAGGGTCAGTATTATTAACTGGTCACTGTTTGATGTCTCACCATCTCAAGCACAATGAAATGAGAGATTAAACCTGAGTCACATCACTTTCTAACTGGTTCTCTGACGTTTTGTTCTCTTTGAGATGGCTAACCTCAGTCTCTGGTGAGAATGTTGGGCTCAGTGTCACTCTGGGTTGGGAAAAAAACATAAGACAGGGTTTCTGCTCCTTGCTCATTATGTCTAGTGGTCTGCTGGTTAGCCCTTATGTGGGTAAGAACAGTATTAGGCTCAGATCTGAAGCTCTCCACAGTAATAACCTCATAGGAATGTAGGACCAAGAGGAGGTCATTCAGCTCATCCAGCCCTCTGCAGAACTGCTGTCCAGGCTCACACACAAAAAAAGGACCGTTTGGGCAAGGTACCAGAAGGTGCCTGTTACCCATGGACCCACATCCCAGCAAGTTCCCTTCTTCAGGCAGGGAGGAAAGTAATAAAAATAATAATTCTTGCATTTGATATAGTGCCTTATCAACTTATTGAGATGTCTCAAAGCTCTTCACATGATATACTGTAAAGTGAATTCACTGTGTATTTTGTGGGCGAAACGTGGCAGCCAATAGCACAAAGCAGTGTCCCACAGACAATCGTGGATTGAGGCACCAAATTTTTTTGCTATTATTTTGGAGGGCTTATTACCCCAGGAAAGCGAGCTGCCAATCGACTAACAACTGGGTTCCTATTGACTGCTGAGTAAACAGGCGTGTGGAGTAAGGAAACTTGCTTAAGGTTTTGCTCTGTCGGGATTCAAACCCAGGTCCTCTCGCTTGCGAGAAAAGCATGAAGAAATTAAGAAATAGAAAATGTATATTAACTTCTATTTCAAAAAGTTACACACCTTATTTCACTAAAGTGGCAAAATTGTCCTCACTCAAAGATGAATAGCTAATTAACTGTTTTTCCCTAAGGAGCAATTCCTCGTCTGTACATTGTGTTGCTCAGTCGACACCGGTTGAAAGCCACTGCTTCATTTCCCAGCTGTGTGCTTGTGTTAAAAATGGTCTCAGAAACATTCATTGTATTCCTGGCTAATGCTTGAGCTGATTTGTTATATAAGTATACACCTAATGTTCCTCCATTGAAGACAAAACTGTGGCAATTCCCTGAGCTATTCTTATGAAAAGTACATTACAGGGTGGTTCAGACTGCAGACTCTGGTACATCTGGTTTCAAAACAGGACTGCCTGTTACTTGACCTTTCATAGCTGGGATATGTTCTGTGAGTCCTTGGCCAAGTCTTCAGTGCATTGTCTTGCTACAGTACGATGGTTCATCTCAAGGTAGTAAAATTGGCCAAAGTGACTCCTTCGGGAGAAACTATCCCACCCCCAATCCTGCCTTACCTGTAACTAAATGCCATTAATGGCAATTGTGCATTAATTTACAATCTAGGTCAAGGTGTTATCCACCTACAGTCTATGACCTTTAATTGCAACTGCAGGATAATATTACACTCACATTTTACTCATTAAAGCTATAATTAAACGGAGAAGTGAACTACCTGCATTCAATATCCTGAGTTTATTCAATTCATTGGAAAAATCTACAAAACCCATTCAGGACTTCATTACTTATGGATTATAGGGTTATCTTTTCAATAATTTTTCTTTTCCTTCCAATTTTTGTCCCCGTTGCCCCTGAAGAATTACTTAAATATGTGCTGATGGCTGACCTCAAGAACCTCACCTAAGTGGCAATTCTTGATGCGCGAGCACATTGAGTGCTGGCAGGTTATTCAAGCATTGGAGGCATGACAACCGAGGCTTCTCATCCAACATCCAATACATGGGATGGGAGCCTTTCAGGAGCAGGCAGGGGGTCATTGGCTAGCAGTAGGAACTCTAGCTAACTCTTCCCCCTTCCTAGCCCCAGGGGAGCTGAGGTCAATGTCCTGTCTGCTGCCCCGTATGAAATCAGCTAACTCTGCAGACTGGGGGATAGAATCTGGGGACCTTCCTAGCTTAGTTTATGAGCAGGGATTGTTTCCAACAGAGCTTGTGCAGAAACTCTGCAGATGGACGACGCCAGCCATTACAAACCACTGAATATAAAGCAGTAAGAAGTATTCTTAACTTTCCAAATATGTGCCAGAAGTACAGATGATCACTTCATCTATTTTGTGACTTGTACTTGAAGCCTTTTGTCTTCATTCTATGAATCAACAAGTTATTCGGAGTATGTGCTCTAAGTGAAAAGAAGCGAGACACCAGCATAAACTAATGCAACCAAACTTCTACTTGACAGATCTTAGATTAATAGGTCAGACTTCACTACCACCTTATATACATGTATGGAATGCTAAATATTCAAGGTTTTTCAGAAATACTGCCAAGGCATCCAAAGGTACTGTACTTTCCACTGAAATATTGATCAAGGTGTCAAAAGTTGTGACTGTGGGAATTAATGCACTGGAAAAAACATACAAGGATGAGGATGATTCCATTATCGTACCTTTATGTGGAAATACTGAAAAAAATCTAAATGCTTATAGACAAGATGTTCAAAAGTGGACCTGTGGCAGGATGACAGGATGTTCAATGGATCTCCAGACTTCATCTAGGGAAATACTGACAAGCTGTTCAATGGTGCATAGAATGACAACTTATAAAAGATGTTTGGATAGAAATGTTAATATTGAGCCTTGAAATAGAAGCACTATCTGAGATTGTTGCAAAGTAGTTTTAATGCAATCCAAGCTGTTTGCAAACTCAAATCAACTCCAAAGCTCCATTCCAGCCTATCGATGCTCTCGCCAATTTAATTTTATTTAATAAAGCAAATTTATTTTTACATCCGTGATTTTCACTTCCACTGTGGTTCAAGCTGCTACTGCCTATTTTTTATTGTTTCCATTAAACTGCCAGATCTGTAGTGATGAACATGCACTTGACAGAAAGATACAGTGAAAGCGGTCTACTTCTTTGTAACAAGCTCCCCCAGGATTGTGTATTTAACAGTGAATGCGTTTAAGGAAATTTTCAGCAATGATCTCAAATTAGAGAAATAGAGGCAGCTGAATTTGAATGTGCTTGTATTAAAATGCTGGCAGTTTACCCAAACCAGGAAAGGTAAGCCCTCACTCCGGAATGTTGTTCCAGACAGTGGGGCAGAGTGGCTGAAGGCTTGTCCACCGGTGGTTGGGGGAGCAAGCATGGGACTTGAAGCAGGCTGAGTAGAAGATGCAACTGGGGCAGTAGGATAACAGGAGGTTGCTGTGGAGGAAATTGCATGTGAGAGCAAGAATCTTGAAGCTAATCACCGAGGGATGGGGAACCGATTGATCTGAGTGAGGATGGGGGTAATGAACTTGTGGTGCCTGATGCAAGAGTCCTGGATGGTCTGCATCTTGTGGAGGGAGGAACTGAGGAGTCCAGTGAGCAGGGCATTTGAATAATCCAGCCTGGATTGATAAATGTGTGTTTGGGAGTGTCAGCAGCCTAGGGAGAGGCACTGATGTTTCGGAGCTTAGTGAAAGCAGTGCCAGCGGGAGCCCAAATATTAGGTTTGAAGGAGAGTGAGAGGTTGAATAAGATACTGATGTTCCACTCCAGAACCTTGTGCATTTTGCGTAACATACATTGTTTATGGCTGGCTGAAGAGACAATGGAGTCTAACATATTAAAAATAGTGATTCTTTTCGCTAAACGGAAAAATCGCATTTAAAGAGGTAATGAAATATGGCCATTATTAACAATCAGCAGGCCCTACACCCCAGTATAAAACACTGTCCTATATGTGATTGATCACTTTTCAGATAGGATCTAAAAGTAATGTTATAAGGTAATGTCCTGGCAAAACATTAAGAGTTCAGGATACCCTGGCAATGTTTCAGAAGGTTTCCTACGGATGAACGTGCAAAATGTCCAAATACGTTTCTATGGAAATACTGGTAACATGTCCAACAAATCTTTTACAATTACAATGGCAATGTACCCAGGTGTTTCTATGGAAATGTTGGCAAAGTATTCAGAAATATCTTTATGGAAACATTGGCATTATGTCCAAAATAGTACTTAAGGAATTCATAACAAGTGCTTCAAACTCGAGATAGTTTAAGCTGTTTTATTTTATTGTTACCACACAGATTATAAAAGTGAAAACATTTTGCACTTATAATGGCCAGAGTACTGAGGAACTATACTGTTAACTCTGTTAACTATGTATCCATTTGACCTTTTTGGATGCATAGTAAACAGATTTGCATTTCCAATTAAGGGAACATTGACTTTTGAGCATGGAGTTGATAGCAACGTTGCTTGCGTGGATTTAACATTAATCTGATTTCTGTATACTTTGTAGGAGACTAAATTTACATAAAATAGGCAGCTGCTTCAATTGGTCTCACACCCTGGAATGGGAGAGGAAAAGCAGGCAGTCACAACTTCATATCACTATCCATTGACCACCCACCAACCCCACTATCCCTTCCTCCACCCACTCACACCGGAAACTAAAGTCCACGTATTTGGATGCTACAGGCGAAGACAGATTTTTTGACTCGGCTGTGATGCTCCGCTCTCCAATAAGGTTGAATAGCTTTTGATTATCTGGCCCACATACCAAGAAAGGCCACCTAAACAAGGCACGAGAGAGCTTCTTGTGTCTGTGGGAACCCAGCATGAATAATAATAGTAAACCCAGTATGATTCAGTGCCTTTATGAGCGAAAGGGTGAAAACTGGAAAGGAAGATTTAAAAAAAGAAATCAACTGAATATCACTTGAAAGGGTTTTACACAGTACGGGTGCCTCGTATAATGTAACAGACTGCAATAGACTGAACTGCCAAAGTGTTCAACAGCGAAGATACTGCTGAGCTAGTTTATACTGTATAAGATCCTAAATGGGCTATTTTTCCAGCTCAGCCTGAGAATGTTGTCATGAGCAGACAGAGTGCTTTATGCCTACGCAATTGTGAAAAGGGGCCTTAGCTCTTGTGCCAGCAAAAAAAATAATTTTGTTTATAGTTTAGTGCCAGCACTAGGAACTGGCAGCACAGCACAGAAAACAGGCCACAAATTGTGTGGCATCATGGTTCTGGGTGAGGTTGCACAAATCAGGCCCTTTACATTCATTACCATCTTTCCTGTCCCTTAAACCATCTGCTGAAAGCACAAGTAACTGGTATCAAGAGCCTCCTGTAGCTCAGTGGTTAGACCACCACCCCCACCCCACTGCAAGTGAGAAACCTGGGTTTGATTCCCGCCGGATAAAATATTGGGCAAGTTTCCTCACTCCACATGCCTCTGTTTACATAACACTAAACCTAGCAATTATTATCCCCTTTTCCAGTGGTAATAATTCCTTAAAAAAATTCTTAAAAAAAAACTGGTCACTCAATCCACGACTGTTTGTTGGAAACTGCTGTGCGCAATTGGTTGCTGCGTTTCATACACAAAATAGCCAATTCACTTTACAGTATATTCTGTGAAGCGCTTTGAGACGTCTTGAAGACGTGATAAGGCGCTATATCAAATGCAAGGATTATTATTATTTATTATTAATAGATAATAATGACGAGATTGAAGGTAGATTGGTGAAAATTGTTTAATTGTTTGAATCTTCACTCTACCCAGTTCCCAAACACCAGCGCCAGCACGAGCAGCACAAGCCAAGCAGGATGTTGCTCTCCAGCAGGATTCAGGGTTGAACAGCATCATGACACAATTCATGTATTCCTCCGCGGATTGGCTGGCTCGTAGGTACGTTTACAAGGCATTTGCAATCAGTTTTCATGCAGTTGTGAAATATGCCTTGAGTCAGAAGTAATGTAGGTCCCCAAATTTGAAATATACATCAGGCAAAGATATGGCACCTGTGTTTATCCATGCAGAAGTGAAAACTGGATAGATCTTATCTGTGAGAATTGTTGTTTTGCACTGTAACAAAGAGCCTTCTGCTTTCAGAAGCCCTCAGGATGCGCTCAACAATGTTGAGGTTCATTTTAAATTCAAATTGCTCGTATTGCCCGGAATCAGCACGAAACATGTCAACTTCTTTGTGCTTTGCCATCTTGCTTCTGTTGTAGGCATTGACCTCACACCACAAATAATGAGCTGTTCCAGCAGAATATAGAATCGGTTAACATAACTCACACCACTAATAGCCTGTTTCAGTTTTACTGCATCATATGCATGCCAATGGGGTTTAGAGTTTAAATCACAAATACATTAAGAGCTTCCAGATAAACGGATCTAAATATTCTGTGAACAAAAGTATAGGAATCCAAGTCCTTGGTTAAATTAAAATGAATAGCTAAACCATAGGCTCCCCAATAGCTTACTCACTCCATCCCCACTTTCAAAGCCTGCCTCTTAAACAGAGTTTTGGTCATTTCCTCCAAAGTAAAGCACTTTGAAGCATTCTCCCGACATGAAAGGCATTCTGTAAATATAAACAACGTTAAATAGTGTGGAAGGTCCAGGCTGGTACAGCACTAAGACAAGTAGATTGGAGACCTGTAGCTCAGTGGTTAGAGCACTCGCCTTGCAAGTGAGACACCTGGGTTCAATTCCAGGCAGGGTGAAACCTTGGGCAAGTTTCCTTACTCCACACACCTGATAATAATCCCTCCAAAACAAAACAATAATAAATTGGTCATTTTCAATCTACGACTGTTTGTGGGACACTGCTGTGCGCAATTGGCTGCCGTGTTTTACCCACAAATATACAGTCAATTCACTTTACAACGTATTCTGTGAAGCACTTTGAGATGTCTAGAAGATGTGAAAAGCGCTATATCAATTGCAAAGATTATTATTAATATTGTAGTTTTGAATCCCAGTCTGTGCTGGGTTTGCTGATTTCAGCCAGGCAGTAGTTGAGGCTTCACAATTACTCCTGGTGCCCTCTAGGTTCAGGAGGGGATATCAGTCAGAGGTCCTGATCCCTATCCAGGTTCTATTGCTGGAAGGACAATGTATGTGGGTGTGTGTGTGAGACACAATAAATTTACATAGATATTGGGTGACGACAGGATCAGCCTCAGTTTAGCCATCTAAAGTTGAAACACAGAATGTCAGGGATCGCACATTGGGTGATGCAGTGGAGGTCTCCTTTGAAGTTGAACCCCAGCAGCAGAAGGTAAAATAAATTAGAGTAGTTTACTGATACTGCAACGATAGCTTGCATTTTTATAGCGCCTTTCGCATAGGACACATCTCAGAGTGCTTCACAGGTGGAATGAAAACCTGAGCAAGATGGGAAATAGGGGCGCAGGAGGGAATCGACTGAAGGTGTAGTTGATGAGATGTGTGGTTTTCTTTGGAAGGGTTTTGACAGCAGAGAGGGGGTGCTCCAAGGCAGGGGGATTTGGGAAGGGAGGTCCGGAGAGTGGGGCAAAATGGCTGACAGGGGTGCAAGGTCTATGGTTTGTGGAGGGGAAGAAGACTGCAGAGATAGAGCAAACATGGAGGGATAGTGAAAAATTGACATAGACTAATGGGAGAGGTTTATGCAGCTGAGAGGAACTCAATGGGGTTGGGGGGGCTGACACTTCTGGGCAGGAGGGAGAAATTTAGGGCAGAAACCCTGGGCTGCTATTTCAACATCTATCTGTTGCTTTACAGAGTAACATTGTCAGAGTTTGGGGAGCGGGGCATCTGGATCATCGCTGGTGCACAGGGAAGTGAAGAAGAAAAATAAGAAAATGTAAGAGATAAGAAACAAATATACAACAATAAAAGCATGATTTATTTGGGATTTTTGAATAACTTGCTGCGAATGGTGACCCTACATAACACTCTCCATTGTCCTCATAAACTATTTATTCCAACCCAATCACAGGTACAGTGCCATGAGCTGCCAGTTGCATTTACATACCATTTGAATGCAGCACTAGTGTCACTCTGGAGAGCACTGAAAAATTGCTGGAAATTCAAACACGAATCTGATATCAGCAAGTGCGTGACTTTGTTCTAACACTGTTAAGCGACAACAACAAAATTATATTTATAGAGCACCTTTCGCATCAGATGGATGTTCCAAGGTGCTAGATGGTTAAGGGTTTACACCTGAGTAGGGGATTAAGCAATCACATAATGCAGTAAATTAAAGAACTAATTAAAAAAAACCTTAGATTTGTTATAACACACCTTTTACATCAGCAAACCCTCCTGCTAAGAGCTTCACAGGATATAACGTAAAGTGCAGTGAATCTGTGTTTTATGAGCTTTCTGGATAACTTAACTTAAATATTTATTTAACCTTGTGTTACTCAACTTTTGGAAATTAGCTAACTATTTAGAGCTCCCTTGAAGGGTTAGTGTAAAGTTTACTCTAAAGTTTACAAACTGTATATTCTCTAGATAACCATGGCAGTCAATTTGCACGCAGCAACATCTTACAAACAGCCATGAAGTGAATGACAAATTCATTTGGGTGAATCTTCATGGTAGTCAGGTCGGATAGGTCTGGCTGCGGAATTGCTGAGACAGAAGAAAGCTTTGCCCTAAAAGCATAAATAACCAGGCTGGTTCCGAAAGCACCTACTACACACTGGTGGCCAAGAACAACATACACTACAGTACATGAAAGTCTAGTAGATTGATATTTCATTACAGGATGCTATTTTTGCTCTGAATATGTAAATAATCCAAACATTCAGTGTAGTTGAGTTACACAGAGCGATGAAGTCCAACTTTCATAGTCATTGAAATGTTATAGCACAAAAAACAAGATGTGTGGCCATAAAGTCTGCAATAGTGTTTTTCTCCACATGAGCCAATCTAATCCCATTTCCTTCTGACCCCCTACAAGCTTTAATATTCCTCCTCAGCTCCTGGATGCTGACCCCTGCTGATAAGCGAGCATTTGTGAACAGTGCTTAGGAAAAGGACTGGACCAGGTTCAGCCAGGTTCCTTCTCTTCGTTGAACTGCCTGTCAATATTGACTGTCCAGTCTCACATGTGAAGAGTGGCTTCATTGGAGAGGTAGTGGAGGGCAACAGGTACCCCTGAGTCTACTCTCCAACGTGAGCTGGGAACCTAGCACCTTCAGGAGAGGAGAGAAAATGTGATGGAAGCAAATTCACACCCTCAAATCTATGAATGCCTGGAATTTTTGTATAAAGTAACATCACCTAGGAGTCTGCTACACCTAGAAAGTTAGCTCATTAGGGGTGCAGTGGGTGGTGGGCGTGGGGGACATATGTACTGTTCCACTGTTTGCCAAATGTAGCAAATGTATTAATGTGCATTTATAATAGGAAACTGATCATGGTAAGGGTTCCCCCAATCCTGTCCTCAACTACAGTATTGGAAATAAAGCACGTCGCAAGAAATTCACAAGCAGTTAGTGCAGAAGCAAAACGGTGCCTTCAAGTCAGTAACAGGTTAAAGTAAAATGACCGCATTTTACAACCCATCATTTCTGACTCTTCAGAGATTTATAATCTCTCTGCCCCATTTGCAGCAATCGGGAGCTGCAGGATTTCTATCTGAAATGATTCTCTCCGAAACTGGACATTGATATTTACCAAACTAATCTCTCTCATAATGAGCCATAATCTCTTTAAATCAGGAAATTTAAAGTAAACCCAATCATGATCCTTTACAAACTCTCCTGACTTGCTGCTGTGTTTCTCTCTGGGAAACTAAAGGCCAGTGTGCAAGGACGCCAATCCACAAAAATGTGGAAGACCTCCCATCTTCCAAGTCTGTTAGCGTGATTTGTTCTTGTTTATGGCTTTCAGTCGTCTGCCTGCCCGAACTTGAAGGTGCTTCCTATGTTTTCCTTCTGAATGAGAATATGGGAGGTTTCAGATAACAATCTTGTCACGTTCTGTGATTTTTCTTGTGGGTTATTTGCGTGGGTGAGGACTTAGTATAAAGCATCTAGCTGGAGGGTAAACCAATAGGGCAGGTAATCAACTGCTGAACATGTTCGTTGCTGAACATGAAATGCAAGCACTCTTTACACCATTGCAAAATCTTCCCATTTGCGCCTACAATATTCTCTTTCTGCCTGCAAGGAAAGATGTCATTAGTATCCTGTTTTCACAGCACCCTGTCTCACTCTATTAAATATCATTGGGTAACAGCAACCTGTCTGACTCTGTTACTCATTAATGAGTGTAGCTGTGGACTCAGAACTGCTTTTGCCCCGACTTATATCTTGTTTTTATTTGAACTTTGAGTTGATATGAAAGTTTATTGAAAAGCCTTAATATGACTGATTTCCATCATTCTGTTTCTGGAGGAATCATCTCTAAGTATCTATCATAGCACAGCAGTCCAGGAGGATTTGTTGATCTGCTAACAGGCAGTGAGTGCCATTTCCTGAGACTTTTCATTCCTACAAGCTTAGATGGAGGAGAGAACTTTGGCAGCTGTGCCTCAAAGCTTTCCCTCCCTCCACATTTAATGAGAATTGTGTATGTTTAGCTAGAATTCTGCAATGTAAAGCAGGTACTGTAAGGTGATCGTTAATATGGAACTTTACCTTGAAGTATTCAATCAACACCTTCAAAGTGTTACTTTATCACTGAAATTGGGTAAGGAGGGGATTGGGAGCAGGGAGAGGAAGTGGGGAAATCCCATGTGGTTTCATATTTTTGTCAGTTTAGTGGGAACGAGCATGTGGATTTTCCCCGCCATGGGCTGTGTCAGACAAGTGCACTTCAGCTGCAATATTCGAATTGACACCAATTAAAACATGCTAATTTGTAAACCTGTAAAGGCACAATCTGAACACCGATCTCTGTAGTCTGTACCAAGTTACTGTCAGAATCATTCTCTTGCCGCACATTGCTTACCGAAAGTAAAACAGCATTTCGTTCAGATTAGGCGGTTTTATGGTCATGATCTGAATACCTGTGGTATACAGTCACATGAGGTTTGAGTTACTCCTCTGTAGAAAGTGGAATAGAGCATTTCATTTGGAACTTCTTAACGCATAGCAGCTATAATCATGATACAAAAGACGAATTTGTGGCTGATGTACAAATGAGTTTTTTTTTCTTTTACTCTGTGTTGGTAAACTCACCACATGCCCGGCAATTATATATATATATAAAAAATTCATAGCAAAATGCTGCACCAGCAATGTATGTGTGTATGTGTAAGTAGATCCATAAAAAAAATCATTCAGTTTGCAAATATGTAAATGCAATCACAAGAGATTGGGTGAAAGGGTCCACTTACACTCTTTGAGAAATCTGCGTTGTTGGAGATATATTGGGAGCAAATCCACATATCCTTAAAACTCTTGCTCTTAATGGAACTTTGCAAAATTCCAGGTGTCCTTACTGCATTAACTACAAAATACGCAGTCATTATCACTACACTTTACAATAAAACCAATGAGGTATTTTGAGACGTTTTGACCAGGTGATAGAACTCTCTATTGAATGCATCTGTGGCATGTTTTTGTGCATCCAAAATAAACTGATGTGTGATGCTCAACGAGTTAAACCTCTACAAACCTACAAGCGTTTCCCACAGGGCGTACACACAAGTAATTTCAGCACACGTCAGCCATTGATAGCTGCGAAATCTGAATTGATACACATCACCTCTTCAGCCTGGAGTCTCAATCAGCTTTGCACGAGAAGCAGGAAATATTCAAATGTACAACTAGCTAAGAACAACAAGGGAATTGGAAATATGTGGTGGTGCACGTAGTTTGCAGGATGCTTCAGAATCGGTTCCAACCAAACTTAAGTTCCCTATGTTCCTCCTGACGATAAGATGACACCCTCTCTACTCCAAAGCACGGACATCAATATTGAAACTATTGTGTCTGTGCACAGGAACCTACCCAGGTTCAGTCCAGTGTTGCAAATTCTGCGATGGATGTTTCACCATTTCCAGGGACAGGGCCATCTCTTACAGAGTGAATGAGTGATATTCAAGTGCTGGTGCACACCTTTTGAGAATCGCAATAGATGCACCCCCGCCCCCCCCCCCCCACAGCTGTGTCTTTTATTTAAAAATTCCTGGTGTGGGACAGTCTTTCGCCACTTTCTTTTGAGCACTGTGGGCCTTAAGCACCTTGCGCTCATTCCTCCTGACACGAAAGTCGCTTATATAAACTTGGATTGTGTTGTTTTTTGGACAAATCGGGGAAACAAATTGCTCACATTTCAGGACAACATGAACAAATTGCATTTGTAGAGCACCTTTCATGTCGGGAGGACATCCTACGGTGCTGACATGCGAGGAACATCGCTGATAAATCTGGTGACAATGGAAGAGATGTCTGGTAGCAAAACTGATTCAGCCACTGGAGCTTTATGGTAACCCCCCCTTTCTTTCACTGTGAGCCAAAGGGGATACTTTCTGCTGTCAGCCACACATACTACAATGCAAATGCTTCATGGACAAGATGGGTATCTGACATGTACAGAAACCCATCAACATGCTTAAGAGTATCCAAACTAGACAAAGTTCTACATATGTAGGCCACCTACACATGCAAATTCCTCTGTGTCTGGAGTGAGATGCACTTTCTCTCCCTGAAGGGACACACCTTTGCTTTCCAAATCTGGAGAGTATTCAGCACAGGTTGGCAAGAGCCAAGGCTTGGGGATCCCAGTTTTGTATCAGCTGTAATATGGATGTTTGTACAAATAGACACAGACCATTTTATCAAACAGCTCCTAGCAAATAATAAATACAGAAGCATTCCACAGAATGCAATACCTCCAGCTGGGACAAAAGCACCACTGAGTCTGTCATAAATGAAAGTAAAGCATAATATTATCAAATTTCAGCTTGTTATACATTTGATGTGATCTTATAGGTTTTCCATTTGTAACCAGAATTTTTTTGA